TTGTAAAAGTAGTGTGTGTGTGTGTGTGTGTGTGTGTGTGTGTGTGTGTGTGTTTCCATAATACACCAGCAGCTCAAGGTACTTCACGGCTGCTCTTCTGTCAGGATAACTGCGTGACCGTCCCCAACTCCGGCCAGGAGGATGCGGACAGGGATGGCATCGGCGACGCGTGCGATGACGACGCTGATGGAGATGGGATATTAAATGCAGAGGTTTGGACTCTCTAATGCTTAGTCCCAAGCCGTGCCAGCACATACCCACCGAACCCAGGGAAACAAGAGGTCCCAGCATGCAGTGCTCCATCTCTGCCTACACGCCTGGAGGCCTGTAGCCTCCACCCTGGGATGGTGACATTGAGGCTGGCTCTAATCAGGGTGTGCCTCTGCTGGGCAAAGCTTGGGCAGCCCCTAAGGTACCTGAAGCAAAGGGGGCTTTCTGGGGTGAGGGCTTCAGATGTGCCCTAATGAGCCATTGTTCTGTCCAGTGCTGACCGGAGGCTTTGCTCCTCTCGTGGAACGATCAAGGCAGGGGCGGGTGTGGAGGAAGAGGGGGAGGCTGCGATTGGATGAAATCGTGCTTCTCTGAGGGAGTGGCAGGGATGGGTGTGTCCCAGCTTTTCAGCGTTGGTCCTGGGCAAATGCTGGTACCAGCTGAACATACACCTCTCCTGGGCTTTGCGACAATGCCTGGAATGAGGGCATCAGGCTCGGTGCCAAGGCTGGGCTCAGATAGTTCCAAGTAGGTCTGCCCTGTGACCCCTTTCGGTACCTTCCCCACGGCCGGGCATAGCTTCATCACGGCTCCCTTCCCCCCCACCTCACAGGACAACTGCGTCCTGGTGCGCAACACAGACCAGCGCAACACGGACAAGGATAGCTTCGGCGACGCCTGCGACAACTGCCGGCACGTGAAGAACAACGACCAGCGGGACAGCGACAGTGATGGGAAGGGAGACGCGTGTGACGATGACATAGATGGAGACAGTAAGAGCGGGGGGCGGGGACGCAGATCCCCAAGAGCTGACAAGGGTATTAGTATCACACCCAAACGAGAGTGGCGGTGCCTCGAGCTGGTCCCGGCCCCTTGGCCACAGACTGAGTCACATTGGGCAGAAACCAGATACTGGAGCCAGGTGGCCTAAAGCTCGGCAGGAAAAGCGCTACTTTCTGATGGGCTAAAGCACTTCTAATCACTGTGTCCTTGGGCAGAGATTCGCCCCCACCACGGACAGAGGCCACGAGCCTTCACGGCTCACAAGAGGCCACAACACACGCGATCTTCACAGCGGCCCTAGAACCCGAGTCCCCAAATCAGAGCTGCAGCAACTTCCATGTAGAAATGAAGCCGCTGGGCAAACCGAGCGGCTCCCAGCCTAGGCCGCTCCGTGGATGAAGGCCTGCTGAGGGAACACTCAGGGAGTTAAAGCAGCAAGTGTCAGGGCCAGGTTTGCTGGTCTATACGTCATCACCAGCTAGCTGGGCTGGGGGTAAAGGCAGTTTCTAGAGCCAGAAACCACAACTGCCTCAGGCCTGAGAGAGAGGAAATTCCTTTACAGACTATTCCCCAGAGTCGCTACAACTAAGGAATCTCTCTGGTGCGATTCAGTGGTGGAGGAGCTGATGGCATTGTGATAAGAAGGGAAGTTAGAGAGGTGGCGGAGTATGTTGTGTCTGGCCTATCGCAGGCCTCCGGAAGATGCTGTCGGAGTTTTCCGAGTCTAACCGCCGATGCGTAGTAAATAAGCCAAGGCTAATCTATAAAATCTGCTTTAGAGCAGTTTGGGAAAACGCTGACAACTTTGGTCTAAACCCTCTGCAGCCGGTTACTCCTGGACAGATAAGATGCTGCCTGTTTGCAGCTCTGTCACTCTGTGAGGAACGCAGGTTTGAGACCGGTTCCTCTCTCAGGCCGGCATGGTACAGACGTGTCTAGGAATAACATGGGTGAGATTTCTTTGTAATGGGAATCCTGGACACTTGTAGAAGCAGCTGTTACAAGGAGCGCTAACACCCTGTGCCACAGTCTGGGAACTACCAGTCCCGGGGGATTTTCTCATAGTTCTCCCTCCCACTCAACACCCTTCCTTCCTCCCCCCCACTCAACACCCTTCCTTCCTCCCCCCTCCAATACCAGCTGGATATTTGGAGGACACTGAAAAGGTTTAGCTCTCACCCAGGTCACAGAGGGGATATGGGCACTAGGGAGACTCCCGTGTCCTGGGGGAGGCTGCTGTAACTTTTGGATTAGTGTTCATTGCTTGGAAAACTAAAGTTTCTCACCCTTAGAGCTGCAAAGGGGGAAAAAAAATCTAGTGTAGACAAAACCCAGTTTGGTGAATGCAGCAAACAGCTGTGGGCACCGCTTTGGCCTTTGACAGACATAGCTGCCCTCTGTAGGCACCTGGTGGTATTGCCGGCCAAAACTCAAGTCAAGTACGTTCACACCTCGAGTGCAAAAAGCTCAACAATTCAATGCTCTCCTGTGGCCGCTGGTTCCCGTCAGGCTGTGTTTACTTGACCCAAATCTTCTGTTCTCTTTTTGCCTCTTTAGTTAGTAAGGTTATACCGGGCTGAACAAACGAATGTATGTTTACAGGCACGTGCTTCTGCCCCTGAACCATTAAAGGGTTCACAATAATGTGGCCTCTGGTCTTGTGATTTCAGCCCCAGAGAAGAGCCTTTGGAGGCACTGAACATAAATACATGAACTGCACACAGGGCGGGGGGAGGGGGGGTGATGAAGAACAAGAAATGGCGACATGAACAACTGGGGCAGCCGCACTTCCTGCCCTCTCTACCCTCCCAAGCTTGCTGCAGATGCCTCTCCTGGCAGTGCTGGTTTAAAGGGCCCTGTGTTTGTGGCTTTCAGAGATCAAAAACATGGTGGACAACTGTAAAAACACCCCCAACCCTGATCAGAAAGACAGCGATGGGGACGGAGTGGGGGACGTGTGTGACAGCTGCCCCACCATCAGTAACCCAGACCAGGCAAGTAAACGCCGCTCCTGCTTGAGCTCTCCTCCCCGGGGGTAGGGGCAGGGATGGCACCCACACTGCCCAGCCATGGGCGCCCTTGCTGGTAGCGTGACAAGACTGTCACTTGCAAATAGCAGCCTGTAGAGACCACAGTTCCCAGCATGCAGTGGGCCTGACGGAGCAGCGGCTGTGCAGCCTAGGGTACGACTCTCCACGACTGTTGCAGGGAGAAATCAACCCGTTCACAATGAGCACTGCAGGAGAAATTGCTTCCGCTGTGGGGCTCTCTTCACTTTGGCAGCGCTAAATAGCAATTGAGGCCCAAGCAGTCTCCGTTCTTCCTTGGGATCTAAATCTTCAGTCCCCCTGGGGCACGTTTCAGCTGATGGTTAATGTTTTGTTTTACCAGAAAGATACTGACCACGACCTGGTGGGGGATCTGTGCGACACCAACCAGGACCGGTGAGAACCAGCTGCCCCATGGCTTGTTCAGGCTACACACAATCCAGGAGTGTTGCGGGAACAAGTAACAACTGGTCTTGAGGCAATAGTCTAGACTATTGGCCTATTACAGAGGTGGGCAAACTACAGCCCGTGGATCACATCCAGCCTGTGGGACGGTCCTGCCTGGCCCTTGAGCTCCCGCTCGGGGAGGCTAGCCCCTGGCCCCTCCCCTGCTGTCCCTCCTCCCCCGCAGCCATGCTGCTGTGCGGACGGCGCTCCTGCAGGGCAGCGCAGCAGCGTGTCTTGCTCCAGCCGGGCAGCGCGGCTGCCAGACATGCTGCTCTGAGTGGGATGGTAAGGGGGCCGGGGGGTTGGATAAGGGGGACCCGAGGAGCAGTCAGGGGGCAAGGAGCGGGGGGGTTGAATGGGTCAGGGGTTCTGAGGGGGGTAGTGAGAGGGTGGGAAGTGGGAGGGGGCGGAGGCCAGGTTGTTTGGGGAGGCACAGCCTTCCCTACCCGGCCCTCCGTTCAGTTTTGCAACCCCAAGGTGGCCCTTGGGCCAAAAAGTTTGCCCAGCCCTGGTCTATTAAGACATGTCCAGCTTGAGTGAATTTAAAACTCATCATGGCTTAAGTCACAGGTTAGATTTTTATGGCTGGTGAAACCACCAGCTGCCACTTTCCTGTTGTCAGGCAGGATCCAAGCTCACCTGACAGGTGGGTGCCTTTGTAAAACACACACACACACACACACACTCTCTCTCTCTCTCTCTCTCTCTCTGCAGGCTTCTTGCTGTTGCATGTAGGGCAGAGTTCATGTGCCCCTATTGTGCCCTTTAGTATCCACTGTTCTTGCCAGATGTTCTGAGCTCGGCTTGTCTGATGTTCTCTCTGCCAGGGACGGGGACGGCCACCAGGACTCCCATGATAACTGCCCCTCGGTGCCCAACAGCTCCCAGCTGGACACAGACCACGACGGGATTGGAGATGAATGTGATGACGACGATGACAATGATGGGATTCCGGATCTAAGGCCTCCCGGCCCTGACAACTGCCGGCTAGTCCCCAACCCCGGACAAGACGATTCAGACAGTAAGGGGAACATGTGTCGCACCAGCCTGCAGGACCTGCCCCTTCTTGCTTTCAGTCACGTGCTAGCGAGTTTAAAGAACATTTAGGAGACATGACTTCCTTTTCCTGGGTGTAGTGACTGACCCAGATGCCCAGTATCATGGTCAGTGGGGCCCCATGGATGGGAGCAAGAGGCACTCACAGTTTAGAACATTGAAATGGGGTTAAAAGGTGTGAAATTCCCCACCCCCAGCATTATCAGCATCTGTGACTGGGAGGGGGAACCAGCCCCAGGTGGGGGTTCCTACAGAACCATCTCCAGAGAAGTCCAGCTGTGCTTGGACACTCGGCCCCAGCAGGGCACCTATCTGGGAGGTGGTTTTATTAATTTAGATGGAATACACGGGCTAAAGGCGTTACCAGAACCTAGTCACTAAACAGGTCTGGGGTTTGCTAGAGACACCTCGGGCTGCTTAGCACCATTACAAATCCTGTTACCCTTTAATAAAAGATACCGAAAGAGAAGTGGGACTGGTTAAAGCATTGGAAATGTAAAGTATTAAATAAGGCTTTTATGCTAACAACATCCCTTGTTCCCTTCCCCTGGCAAGAGTTTTTCAAAGGACCACCCTCCTTGTTTGACAGTTTCTTAGATCGTACTAAAAGATGGTAATAATTGTCCTTTTTGGGAAAAGAGCGGAAATTAGTTGAGTTGGGCCGGAGCTGCTGTTAGAGTCTGATCCTGTTTCCTAAAAGACAAAACAAGACGACCGCACCCAAAGGAGAGAAAAGAGCAGCAAAGAGAAAAAACAGCTGGCTCTGGGGTTGACTTTCACTTGCAGCCTCACTGCTGGAAAAACACAGGCCCAGCCCATCGTCTGATCAGCTGCTCCGAGACCTGGCAAACTTGTGCCCGCATCGGACTGTTTAGGGCATGGCTTTTAGTTGCCCTCTGGTCACAGGCTTACAGCAGTGTTGGCCAGCTAAGCTAGACTCTTACCAGACAGAAGAAAGGAGAAGACATAAGATAGGGAAGGAGACAGTGTCACATCCCAGCTGGTGGTCAGGACTCAGCCAGAGCGGGGTGGTGGTGGTGGTGGTGGTATCTGGGTCCCTCTCTGGTCTAGGCAGGTCAGGCCATGGCGCAGGATGAGGAGGAAGGTGGTCCAAGGTCCCCAGAGACAGCGGGGGTGGCAGCCAGGAGTGAAGCTTGTTCCTTCCCCTTCTTTCAGTCAGTGTAGCAGTAGCCTCCTTCTGTTCATCTGTATTTCCTCCCCCTCCCCCAAGTCTTTAAGGACCCCCACCAGGGAGTGATGGCTGGAAGAGCCTGTCCTCGCATTATTTTGTCCACCAATAAGGCCCAATTTTTGACACATCCATTTTGATTCATTGACTTTTTTTTTTTTTCTCCCCAGTCTCACACTTGTTTACCAGGAATGATTTTAAGACCATGCCTGAGTTGTATCAGGTGGTCTTTTTGTAGGGACTAATTCAGTCGGTCTCTTTTTTGCACCTTCTCCCATCAACACTGGTGGTTCTGGGTTATTGTGACACTTTGACCTTTCACGGGGTAAATTTGTAGGCCTAGTTATCACAGCATAGATACAACTACCCTAAAAAATATGGCGCTGAGAGCCGAGCAGGTGGGAGGAGATGGTGCTATTGGAGAACAGGAGACTTAGTGCACGTTATCACCCCCCCCTCCGCAGGTGATGGTGTGGGAGATCTTTGTGAAGATGACTTTGACAGTGACCAGGTGATTGACAGAATCGACGTGTGCCCAGAGAATGCAGAAGTGACTCTGACAGATTTCAGGGCTTTCCAGACAGTTGTGTTGGACCCTGAGGGCGACGCACAGATTGATCCCAACTGGATTGTCCTCAATCAGGTAGGAGACTGCTTCAGATCTAGTGTGAGGGGGCGCTAGGAATTAGTAAGCGATGCAGCTAGATGGCTTAGCCGAATCCACTGACCTAGAGCCGCAAACCCCAACGTTCTTCTGTTGGCTGGTTGAGTGGGAGGGGAATGACCCGCAAAGCTTGAGGCTGGGGCCTGCCCTTTGCCCAGTTGTGTTGTCACTAGGGCGAGCCAGAAGAGGAGAGATGGCTCAGGTCACAGAGACATGGCTGGAGGCCCCTGTGGGGTGGCACCAGCCTGCCCGAGTTTCTCTGCAGCGAGTAGCCGAATCTCTCCCTTACCTCCCAGCCCTTTGGGGTGGGGATTACAGCACGTCTTAAATCAGCACCAGATTTTCACAGATGACTGGAATAAACTCTCTTTGAGTGGAATTTTGCTATCTCCTTAGAGAGGGAAGCACGTTTGCACCTCTTCGCCCCAAGCCCACGTGACAATGATCAAAGCTTTCAACTCCAGATGGTAATGAGTTAACACTTGCATTTCACAGGGCATGGAAATTGTCCAGACCATGAACAGCGATCCTGGCCTGGCTGTGGGTAAGAATCAGCTCTCCAGCCAGATGTAATTCCTCTTCCCAGCACAATTTTCAAAGAGCATTTTGGAGATGGTTTTAGTGGTTCAGCCAAATTCCCTCCTTTGGAGGAAAGAAATTCTCGTCTTGAATGTTCTGGCTCTGTAATAAGCAATCTGGGTGCAATAAAGTAAGGGATTTTTCTTAGCAACACCTAGAACAAGGGAAGTTTCTGGCTAATATGGAAGTTGGACAAACTAGACACTTGGGCAGGAGGCTCGGTTCAACAAGACCAGGGGCTGGTTTTGATCCGCTAGTAGGACCTAACGCTAAGGGAGTAGAGGGAGAGACCGGATTTGAATGGGTCTCTGGATTAAGCCAATGAAAGGAAGGTCTGGATCCCAACAGGATGGTTGAGGCTCTAGTGGGGACTAGGCTGTTTTGTTTCTTGGCTCATGAGTGGTGATTATTTCTCCCCCCTTCCTACCGGTTGAGGTTACACTGCATTCAACGGGGTGGATTTTGAGGGCACCTTCCACGTGAACACTGCCACAGACGACGATTATGCAGGCTTTATCTTCGGTTACCAAGACAGCTCCAGTTTCTATGTGGTGATGTGGAAGCAGATGGAGCAGACATACTGGCAGGCAAACCCCTTCCGAGCAGTAGCAGAGCCCGGAATTCAGCTGAAGGTAAGACCACAAGAGGAACACCCTGGGGGCTTCAGATATCCCTGCCCCTGTCCTCCCCTAGTCTTACCAGGTGGGTGGGAGCGGGGAGCAGTTGGTTTAAGATCAAGCACCTTATGTGCGGGAAGGGGAGGACGCTCTAGCTTTGCTGTCACTCTGGCCAGAGCTGCTCTTTATGAACAGAAGGTATCTACATGTGATGAATGTAGCACTAGCTTCCTCTAGTGTTCCTGCTACACATGACCACAGCCCTTTCTCCTCCCTCAGGCAGTGAAATCTAATACAGGGCCAGGAGAATATCTCCGTAATTCCCTTTGGCACACTGGAGACACAACAGACCAGGTCAAACTGCTATGGAAAGACCCCAGGAATTCCGGCTGGAAGGACAAGACCTCGTATCGTTGGTTCCTACAGCACCGGCCTCAAGTTGGATACATCAGGTAAGGAGCAGGGCTTGCTCTGTTCCCTGTGCAAGGAGAGGGAGTCAACCTAAAAACTGCACTAAGACCATTTAAGAAAGGGGGAACCAACTGCTAAACTCAACTCCTGTTTAAAGTCAAACACCGTGCCCCTCTCCTTACTCAGCATGTCTAGGAGTTGAAGGGGGAATACTCCCTCCTTTGGGAAAGGAAATCACTTTTAATAGGGCTAGGCCTCTTAAGATACATCATCCCCTTTCCAGGGCTCGCTTCTATGAAGGCCCTGAAATGGTAGCAGACAGCGGAGTCGTCCTTGATACAACCATGCGAGGGGGTCGTCTGGGGGTCTTCTGCTTCTCCCAGGAGAATATTATCTGGTCCAACCTGCGTTACCGCTGCAATGGTGAGTTGTCCCCTGTGCTGACTAGCCTCTTGCTCCCATAAGCAGGAGTGTTGCTGTCAGCTGTCCCAGCAGTGCTACCTGCTCTGAGATTAGCAACACAACTTGCATTTTATCCTAAAAGGTGCTTAAGTACAGCAGCCTTTGGGGGGAGGGGGAGAGGTGGAATTTGACTCCCTGACATTCCCCCAGGCAATGTATGGCCCTGCTCCTGGTTCCCCCCAAGGGATGGATTGAGATTCAGCTCTTTCAATTAGCGTAACCGAGCTAGTGCAGCATTTATGGGATCCCATGTGAATGAAAGTGGGTTGTTTAGAGAGGGGTTGTCTTGTCCATTACTAAAATGCACCGAGCTCCGGAGCGAAATCTGGCAGACATTCTTCTCTAGCAGCACTGGCAAACACAGGAAGCCAAGAGTTCACTTCCCATTAAATTGGCAGGGGTGTTAAGGAGACTGGCAATCCCCTACACCTGGTCAAGATCTGAACTGGGGTTTCAGACAAGAGACTACTACCATTGAATGTTGATCCCTTGGAATCATGCTTGGCTTTTCTTGAGGGTCCCAGCTCCTCTTACCTGTCTCACCACTCGGGTCTTGTTGGATTCCTGTTTGCACACGACAGGGTTGTGGGTGTGTTTATTTCATGTTACTGGTTTACTACGCTTCTCATTTGCAATCTTGATGCTAATCTACACCAACTTCAATTTCTCCCCCTCCAGATACCATTCCTGAAGATTATGAGATATTCCGAACGCAGCTGGACCAGCCCAGGGCTTAAATGTTGTCCATCAAAATTTGCTTTAAAAAAGTACTCAGCTATCCACTACTGCAGCTCTGATATACTGTATAAAGAACTATGTAATGTACCACTGCACTCTGTACAGCAGCAGGTGTCACTGCCTATCGGGCATCTTTTCTACAACAACAAATCTCTGTAACTGCTATGAAAGTCTATTGGAATTGCAGAGATTTTAGGTGCTGGAAGGAGATTCATAAATGAAGTGTGAATAGAAGCCAAAAATGACGACTGTGCTGTTAACACTAGTCTGCCACACAGCCTGGAAACAGATGTGCTGAGACGCTACCTGCTATGGCTGGAACTATTTGAATAACTGTCCCCTACATAGTGGCTCTGAAGCCTTAAAACATTTTTACACTTCGCCTCCTGTTAGCTCATGTCCCATTACTGGTCAGGCCAGGAAATGTCAGTTTGAAAAGCACACGTACATTAGAGATGGGCAGGATGTTTGAATTACTCGTGGAACACAAAAGGCACTTTAAAAGGGCACCTTAATTCTGGAATAATTTGGAAAATAAACAACACTAATAGACTTAAGTACTTCTTCGTGATCATTGACCTGTTTAAATCTCCTTTACGGACTGGCTGCAGCAGGTGGGAGAAGCAGTCAGATTTGCTGTTACGTAGCATCCAAGGATTCCCCAAGAATGTACTGGGCACTCCAGAGTAAGGCCCTACCCCAAATCTCAGGACAGATTTTTCTTCTGGGTTTAGGTAGGAGGGAAGAAGCTAAATGGAAAGAAGTGAAGAATAGGGATCCTACAGGTGAGAAGAGGGTGATGGGGGCCTGGGGGGAGTGAAACTGAGGTGAGGAGACTGCAGGAAGTTCTCACTGTCCAGAGGTCCCTGCTTTGGCTGTTCCTACAGGCTGGAGTCTCTGGCTGGTTCCCCGCTGCAGGTTGGCCACATGGTGGTGGTGCCCCTGCCCTGTCCTGGGTTTGTAAAAATAACTCAAGCTGTTCCTCTCTTCTCCATCCCATTTGGTATGATACGTTTACAGCAGCTCCCAGATGATAAAGGGGTTCGGGGTGGCTTCTGCTCTCCACAGGTGGAAGTCATGCTGAATTGTACTGGAAAGTTCAGCTGAGGGGAGCTTAAAGAGGAACCACTCCAGGCTCCAAGCACTATAAGACTGTCAAAATATTAGCACAGGGCCCCTCCCACCTAGAGCTTTATCATTTAAGAGACTTCTTCCCCTCTTAGAATTTATTTACCACATTCTTCCACTCCACCTGGGGGAGTTGTGGCTATTTTCAGAGGTAGGTAAGCCTGAGCCATGAGAGCATTTCCCAAACCCTTGGTTTCCTTGTCACTAGTCTCACGCCTGAACACTGCAGGACACCACCTTTCCCTCTCCGGCGAATTCATCAGGCTGAATTTGCCAAGAGCATTCATCTTGGACTGGCTTTTCCCTTTCTGAAGGAGGGGACTAGAGCAGAGACTGAATTCTGCAGGAAAAACTATGGATGTAGTGTTCGGTCCTCTATTTCTCACCCTACCTTTGGCAGTGGCCCCTACACTGCAGAGAGGGGGGGTTCTTCGATCAATCAATGCTTCAATACTCAGGTTTGCAGAACCGCATTCTGGGAATGCTGCAGATCGCAGGCCCAGCATTTCTGGACAGGACACATCAGACCCGGTTTCTGACCATGCTTAATATAGCCATTCCTTGAAAAGGTACATGGGGATCATGTGTGGTTTCAGCTGCTGCTGAGTGTTACCATGTAGCCAAGCACAAGAATTTCAGAGCGGCAAGAACCACAGATGCGATCTCTCCCTCAAGTTTATCAGAATGTTCTTCAGCCGTGACTCCAAAAGCTTCAAAACTCACCTAGTGGTGCCCAGGTCTGACACGTTTTTGCATTTGAATATTACACCCAAAATGGGACATCCATTTTGCAGAGCCCTGCAAGAATAATACTGCGGTCGCCAATCACACAGCACTATCCTCTTCCTCCTCTCGACAGACAAAGAGCCTAAGGTGATGCTGCCAAGTCTAGTTTCACTGTTCCAGCCAAATGAACAACAGGACGGGGATTTCTCCGGTAAGTTTTCTTGACAGTGTCTCCCTCCCTTTAAGGTTACCATGAAAACACAGATCCAACCAAGTTGTTGTTCTACCAGAGGACAAAATGCAGATGAGTAATGTTCCAAAACAAAGAATGAAAAGTTTTAAATCATTTTTAAAAATCCCTATGCAAAATGTACTGGGGCAGGAAAAGAGGCATCATAAGGACAGGAATTAAAAACCCAACAAGAAATGATCCTTTAAGACTTCCGTGACGGGAAAGCCCGTCAATCCATCTGCAGGGTCCAGTGCAGGTTTGTTCAGAAAACATTCTGTGCGTCAAGATTTTGTCCCATCTGATTTCAAACAGTTCAAGACATGTGGATTCCACAACTTCCTTTGGAAAGCTAAATACATCTTCAGTATGGCTGCTGTCACAAAAGACTAAATCACATTTCATTTACATGTGTTTATTGTATGTGGTCCTTCTGTCACACTGGGGGTAGATTCTCCCACAAGGTAATCTACCTCTCATGCAAAACAGTCCCACCAGAACTGCATCTCATCACTAGAAGAACAGGAGTGCTGCTGCTGCCCCTTCATTCAGAATTCTGGTTAGAGCTAAACCTCCATCAATTTACCTCTCACAAACAGGAATAAATCAAAATGTAACAGAAGGTGAATTCCTTCCAGGGAGGGTTCAGTAATAGCTGTCTCAAGAGCTAAATAGTCACCATATTCCAACTATGGATTACCTCTGTAATACAAACAGAAAACTTGCCCCGTTCACCACTGGTCATACCTGTCTCACATCTCTAACGACCAACTTATGTAGCAGGTTTCACTGCATGTATCATCTGCACCCAGTTTTCAGTATATGGGCATATGCTTGAAGGGTCAACCAAGCAACTTGCTTGAACTTTTACATGATTTTTTTTAAAAGTCCAGTTATAGCTTAAAAATCACTCTAAAACAGCCCCGTCTTACTTTATAATGCTCTCAAATTATATAGTTTGTTAACGTTTAAAAGTGCTAAGTCCCACGACTCCCCTACACATAAGGCATTAGACACACATTAGATGAAGTAGGACCTGGAGGTGAAGTGACTTGGCCAAGGTCAAACAGGAACAATGCAATACCAGGAACAAAAACCAAGTTATCCAACTCCCACTCATGTTCTATCCACAACCCCTCCCCACCCCAACTCACTTCCTTTGACACTCCTGCATTTAGCACTGCAGAGTTAATACAGCTGTAGGAGATGAGCTTGGGTGTAATTTTGTGCTATACCTCAGCAATAAGATGGTTTGCTAATTTGTGGCAGTAACTATTTTAGATCCTAGGTGGAGTTTGTGGCACTGCCAGTTGGGAAAACCTCCTGACTGGGCTCAAGTTTATCTACAGATCACTGAAATATAACGCGTGGAGCTCACAAAGTAACGGTGTTTTTTAGTACTTTTTCAGACATCTTACAGTCTTTGCCCGGTTATCTATTTAACAGGGTGCTGAGCTGTGAAGAATATGTAGGGATCCATTCTCCCACTAGTGAAATGCATCCACCCCAATGTAACACAGCAGCAGCAACAAGTTAGGTCAGGAAGTGCAGAAGAATACCACCACGTTCCACAAAACTGCCAGGGGCAATTCAGCACGGTCAACTAGAACTTACCTGATTCAGAATTTGGTCAGGACACCAGCATTAGACACCCGATGTTTACAAACAGCACCACAGGATAGTCAATGATCACAAGTGATCAGAACCTTGGGTTATGTCCCATTGAAAAGATGGCAGGATTGACCACTCTACCGTTACCACTGGTGCTGTGAGGACTTAAGTGTTGAGTGTTAACACAATGCTCTCTCATCTTTCTAGACCTGTTATCTAAAAGCACAAGGCACATCCTGAAACTGGGATTTCATTACCTAGATCATTGTCAGTTTGCATATCCACAAAAGCATCATCAAGCATAATGTTAGCCAGCCACAGTGATTTGCCTCCACGGTTTCTAGTCAACATGACTAAAAGAGTCTTTTTTTTAACCACTTGAACATTAAAAAGCTTCAGTAAGAAACTCTTAAGGAAGAAAAGCCGGGCAGCCAGAGACGAAAAACATTTGAACTTTATTACATTTCATTTACAAAGATACAAAGACAAAAGCCGTCACACGAAAACGGAGTGAAAAGAATATACACTTAGTTGAGCTGCTTTTTCACATCATTTCTCAGATTGCAAACACTTAAAGCCAACTTCAGTTTTCCACTTCACCTATAGAAAAGCACAATCAATTCAACTTCTATGTCGCAGGGACAATGTCTCCAGAGTTCCTGGGTCACCAAAGCTGTAGCTGAATACGGGATTTGCATATATCAGTGAAATAATCCACAAGTTATTTTGATAGAAAAGTTTAGCTTGTAAAGAACAGTATATTCTACTGTCTCTGAAAAGACGTAAATCCAACACGTTTTCCCCCAAACTCAGTGAACTACACGAAGTGGTTTTTAGCTGCCAGTCTGCGAGAGAAGCTGTCAGAAGCAGCTGGATTTAACTTGACTGAAATCAAACCTTCCCCTTCGTAAGCACTTTCCTATTGCATTTGACTTGCAGTTCTTTTAAAGGAATCCAATCAAAGATGGGGACCCCACTCAGAGAAAAACAGAAATGACAACTTCCAATTCCCTCCAAAAGAAAACAAAACCCTAATATCTACTGACCTGTGACTTAGAACTGATGGAAATACAGTATTTTTAATTGCTATGCATTATAATGCTGACCAAACAGTATCTGGATGTGTATTAATATATACACACACACACACACACACACACACACACACACACACCATGTATCATCTAGGTCTTAGTAAAGGCTCG